GACACCGCGCCTTGGGACGGCAGCGGGGAGCTGGCACGTGGCAGCTACTCCGCCACGTCACAACGCTCGAGGCGCATCTGTCTCTCTCGCTCGCGTGCTGTTCACACGCTAGAGACGTACCTGTTTCTCACGCTCGCGTAATTCGCTAATGCTCAATTCGTCGTTGTCTCTATCCATCTAGAGTACGTTTTACTACTGTGTATAAAGCGTTTCTTTTCTATTTGACAAATCATACATCGTTTCGGTCACGTTCTCATTGCGTCAGTACCGTCGATTACTGCGGTGTCGATGGTACCTCTCATCACTTAATTTTCCGTTTATGTGCTCGATCAAATAGTGATCTTGAGCGCTGCTAATAAGTTTATATTTCAGGTTATGTCATTAGATTAAGCTGTCTACGGTTTTCTTCACGTTTATTGATTATGGTCCTTCGAGTTGACATTATAAGCAGACTATGATTGCGGTTGCTCGATAATAAAGTCTCGACTGAATTCTGTGTTTAACATTAAATATAATTTATTCAAAGGTTTTATTTACTTCCTGTCTGTCCTCTCGCCGCTCAACATTAAGGCGGATGAAAGTCCCACTCACTGAGTTATCCATCACTAAACATTTACTGTGATTGGTTAAATTTCAATATAATCCCAATCCCAATCCGTAGTCTGATACGGGCTTTAGACCGCTTAGTGCCTCTTCCAGTATAGTTATATTTCAGTGGATTTGTAACATATATTATTCGACGCCACGATCAAGAAACACCACTCAATATCAAATATACTCTTTATTGCGAATCTCTCAGTTCTTTCTCTGTTCGTACAACGACGGTTACTGCCCTTAATCTTACTGCTTCTACTACAATAGGCGGGACGGCAAAGTACCTCGCGCCAAACGCTACAGAGGGCATTAGTGCTGCCCGGAAACTAAACTTCTTATTCCTAATATTCTTACCACCTTAAGTTGCAAAAGAAAAGGGAGAAGGATCTTTTGAAAACTTAACTGCATGAACTAGAGAATATGAAATAAAATAACATTGCTTGTTAGCTAAAAGGAAAATCGAGACTCTATACAATAACAAGAGGAAACTAATATCCGAGCCGGTCTGGCGCTTTTACACATCGTCCACTTCTAGTACGAATAACATCCGAGCAAGCTTGTGAGGTAGACTCCTTATTTTGAATCGTTTCGTCTATGCTTGGCTTCGTTATCTCCGACTTCTCCAATGAATATAACCTCTGGATAGGGCGCACGAGCTCTCCGTTGGTAGTCTTTACTCTGGCCACCCGAACAATACCGTCTTTACCTGGAAAAACTGTAATTACTTTAGCTAATGGCCAATCTAATCGCTTACGGTTATCCTGGCCCACCAGGACGATATCTCCGATTTTTACTGGGACGTTTTTGCCTTTCGTCTTTCGTCGTGCCAGCTGCCCCAGATATTCAGAACGGAAACGCTCACGCAATTTATTACGCAAACTCTGACAATATCGCATCTGTTTGTTCAGGTTGACATCTATCCTATCCAGATCTGCCACATCGCTCCTTGGAATTTCCCGCAAGAACATCATTGGTGTGATAGGTTGCATCTGCGTTGGATCTTCTGCTAGATAAGTCAACGGCCGCAGGTTGATGACAGCCTCGATGTCACATAGAATGGTGTTCATTTCCTCGTAGGATAGACAAGCTCTCTTCAGTGTCCTTTTCAGTAGGTCTTTTACTATTCTTACTAGACGCTCCCACCATCCTCCCCACCAGGCTGCAGAAGGAGGATTGAGGCGCCAATCTATTCTTTGACTCGTACTGTATCGCTCAATCTCTTTCCAGTCAATCTTCTTAAGTAAGTTACGTGCTCCCACGAAATTAGTCCCGTTATCTGTATAAATTATAGAAGGCTTCCCTCGACGAGCGACAAATCTGCGCAAAACTTGCAAGAAAGCTTCTGTTGAGAGGGACGTGGTGTGACGAAGGCGACAGGGGAGGCGCAAGCGCGAGAGAGAACGCACTACCGGGTGCGAGTGAGCGATCGATAACGGCGCGGTTGCCACGTCGACGGTAGCCGGCAACGCCGCGCCTGCCCCCGCCGCCTCTACCCGCGCGCCTACACTCCGGTGGTATAAAAGCCCCACCGGAGCAGGCGAGTCAGCTCAGTCTTCGCTCGGAGCTCCGAGCGGAGACAACCGGCAGTGGATGCCTCCACTACAGGTATACGCCGGAGTGAATGGGTGCTCCTGTCTCCGGCTATATACCATACCGGAGCACACAACGGAGGCGCTACTCCGTCGTGGGCCCCGTCCCACAGTAGCGTACGCCTAGCGGGGTGCTCCTCGGCGTACACATGCTACATTTTTCCCGTACCGGCCTCCTGTATCCGTCCTGACTCCGTTCCCCCCGTGACAACGGGTACCGCCGTGTTTCGAGGGGACGGAGTAATTCCGCAGTAGCGTACACTTAACGGAGTGCTCCTCGGTGTACACATACTACTGAAAATCACGCATATCGAGGCGCTGCTCGAGCGTGTTCCTGACCTGACCTGATCCTTTCCTGATTCCTGACCGGTGTAGAGCTCAGGGGGGAATATTCGGGTGGGAATTAATTCTAATTTGCGCGTAGGCTTCCGTAGAATTAATTCCGTGTTTTTCCTGTTACGAACCAGAGGATTCCGTACAGACATCCTTCCTGTTTGTTTCCGGCACGTTGCCAGTATATTATCCGTATTATATTATCCAGGTCAGATTATCCAGTCATTAGATTATCCGTATCATATTATCCGTTTGCGTACTTTATTATTATTATTAATAATCATATATTCCTGTACTCCGAGCCAGTGCGTACCTTCTGTACACTATTAGAAATCCGTATAATCACATTCATATTCCTGTATCTCGATTCCCGTTGCGTACTTTCTGTACATCGATATAATCCGATTAATCCTTTCCTTTTTCTTGTATTTAATCACAGGGCGGACCCATTGTAATTACCTCGATTCCGTGTATCAATCCTTGAATAAAACACGCTCCTATCGTTTTCTACCAAATTAGATACTTGTCCGATTTATTTCCGATCCTTCCAAGCGATTCCCTCACTAAGTGAAGTACGATCTTTTCCTCCTTTCCTCCCGACGGCCCTGGAGCTGAGCATATTCGACAAATAGGAGGAACGGAGGATTTATTTTGCCGACATACAGCACGTCAACACCGACCGAAAGAACGCCAACTCTTCCAACCGTTAGTCGGAACCGCGCGTCCGTATAAGTTCCGTATTTATTCGCGTACTAAATAATACCCGCCGAAGTCCCGTCCGGAAACCAGAACCGGGAAGAGTGGGGCAGCTTCGTTACAGTGGTAAGCTCTAAATGAATTCCTCTGTAAACCGCGCAGGTGAATAAACAAATCCAGGCTTTTTGTCCCTTTTTTAAATATAAAGGTCCAATATAATCGATGCCTGTGACTTCGAAAACGTTAGCCTCTTTGACACGTTCATAAGGCAGACAACCAGTAGTAGCATCCGCCATTTTGACTTTATAACGATTGCACCTCCAGCAATTATGTATTACTGTACGTACAGCTGGTCTGCAAGCGATCCAGAATGTTTCTCGCAGATCATTCATCACAGTTTGAGTTCCTGCATGATTAAGTTGTTTGTGCCTATATTCAATCAACTTCTTAACTAAAGGATGTTTCGGATCCAATACAATAGGATGCCTGAAGTTGTGTTCGTCCTCGCGATTAACTACAGATGATTTTAGCCGTAATAATCCGTTCTCTTCTCTATATGTATCTAACGTACTGAGTCGCGGCTCATTTACTTCGTCGAAAGATTCTGCTTGTGTCAACTTCAAAATTACAAGCTCCGCATCGATGAATTCCTTCGTGTTTAATTCTCCTGATAACCTTGCACTCCGCTTAACTCGACAATTAATTATGAAACGACGAATCCAGGCCATATTTCGCACTATTCTTAAGTATTGTCCTTCCATATACCATCCTATTTCTTCTTGTGGAACGGTTATGTGTGTTTCGACTGTTAAAATATCTTCTGACGGAGGTTTCTTCTTATTTCGGTATGTTGATTTCTTGATCTCACTGTCGATTTCAGTTTCATTCCTGGTGCAATCGGTTGAAGGCCACTGATTCCTCGGAAGCCTCAGCCATGCCGGGCCTTCCCACCATCGCGATTCCAAAAGCTGCTTAGCTCCACATCCTCTGGAAGGTAGATCAGCGGGGTTCATGGAACCAGGTACGTGACGCCAGTGGTTTGGATCAGACAGTAAGCGTATCTCCTTCACTCGGTTACCCACAAATGTGTTCCATGGTCTGTTGTTTTGTATCCACGCCAAAACCGCAGCTGAATCCGACCAAAAGAAAACTTCCGCTTCTTCGAAATCTTCCGTTTCCCTTATAGACTGCCACAATCGCACTCCTATAGTAGCAGCAAGTAATTCTAGACGAGGGGTCGTCATTCTCTCTATAGGTGTAACTCTAGACTTTGCTTGAATAAGTTGTACATATGCGCTCTCCTGGGTTTCTGTTCTCGCGAATACGGTAGCTGCATATGCCTCTTGACTGGCATCTACAAACACGTGGAAAGACATATTACCTTCTTGACGGAACGCCCAGCGTGGAATACACAATTCTTTTAACCAGTGTAGTTGCTGCAACCAATCATTGAAGTCAGCTTTTACATCTTCCGGCACTTCGTCGTCCCAACTGATTTTGCACGACCAGAGTTTCTGTAATAATTGCTTAGGCTTTATAGATATCGGTGAAGACACGCCAATGGGATCGAATATTCTTTGAGCTGCAGACAGTATATTTCTTTTCGTGACCTGTGGTGTTGTGGGTAATTCCAACAGTGTCGGTGTTAACTTCAATGTATCCTGCTCTTTATCCTACAGTAAACCGAGTATCGAGGTTATCTTATGAGTTCCTTCTTGACCAGTATACTCCCAACCTCGCAGATCGAATTTGCCTTCGGCCATGACTTGCCCAGCAGTAGCTTCGAACGCTATAGCCTCGCTCCTGGAATTAACACTGGTTACGCAATTATCCACGTAAAATGACTTCTTCAATTGTCGAATGACTTCCTTTTCCTTTTCCGTTTCAACCTGTTGAAGTGTTTTCTCCAGATGATATTCAATTGTTGCTCCCAAGAGGAATGGACTGCTGGAAACTCCGAAGACCACTCGCCGATGTCGGTATATCTCCATTTCTTCCGGACGATTTTTCTTCCACCAGATGAAACGCAACACGTCTCTGTCTTCCGGTGAAACGCTTATCTGCAAAAATGCCTTCCGAATGTCTGCAGTTATTCCGATCTCGCGTCGCCTAAAGCGTAATAGAATTCTCGAATCTGTTCAATCAAGTTAGGACCTGTTTCAAGACAATGATTGAGTGACGGTGAACCTTCTCCTGTAGCGGATGCGTCGAACACAGGCCTTATCTTTGTAGTGCTATTTGCTTTGATAACACTCCTATGAGGTAAATAATAGGCATCATCTTTTACTTCTTCATTTGGTACCTTTTCGATAATGCCTTCTGATATCCAATCGTCAAATACTTGCTGATATTCCTCATAAAGGAATATCGCCCAGCCGGCGGGCATGCCCCCACTCCAATCATCGCTCCACCACGTTTAAAACTATTTAGTTTAGTTGGTGCCATTTGATGATATCATTACTTTTGTAGAGAAGATAGTTTTGTAGTGAGGATATTTTTGTAGAGATGCAAAAAAGATAGAGTAACAAAATATATTCGGTCGTTGGATTGGAGCTTATACTTGGCGCTTTTTTTTACCTTTTTTTAAAAAGGTAAGTTTTTAGGTGTAAAAATTACGTGAAAATTCAGACATGCGGAAACGCGGAAAAGACGCGCGGGGATGCGGAAACGCGGAAAAGACGTGCGGAGATGCGGAAATGCGGAAAAGACGCGGAAAATACGCGCAGAGACGCGGAAACGCGGAAAAAACGTGCGGAGACGCGGAAACGCGGATTTGTTGTACTCCGTATCCCGATCCGGCCGCGTACTCCTGTACAGTAATATAATCCGTCTAGCCATATCCTCATGTCTTTCATTTGTATTTAACCACAGGGCGGACCCATTGTACTTATTAATCCTTTTCTTTCCTTTTATATTTTGATCACAGGGTGGACCTATTGTAATTTCCTCGATCCCATGTATCTTATCCCTGAATAAACCACGTTCCTATCGTTCTCTACCTTTAAAACACCTGTCCGATTTATTTCCGATCCTTCCAAGCGATTACCTCACTACCAGTAAGTAAGATCTTTTCCTCCCTTCCTCTCGACGGCCCTGGAGCTGAGCATATTCGGCAAATCAGAGGAACGGAGGATTCTTTTAGCCGACACACAGCACGTCAAAACCGACCGAAAGAACGCCAACTCTTCCAACCGTTAGTCGGAACCGCGCGTCCGACTAAGTTCCGCATTTATTCGCGTAATAAGTGATACCCGCCGGAGTCCTGTCCGGAGACCAGAACCGGGGAGAGTTGTGCGCTTCGTTACAAAGACATTAGTTCGTCCAGGCGTTGCTTCGAGGTAGTAGCATTGATTGCTTTTGTATTTCTCTGCCATACACGCAACAGATCTTCTGGTAAGGACGACTCCACTAGCGGTACAGCATTGCAGCACACATGTCTGTGGTGACTCCTAGCGACTCTAAAGCTCTTAATTGCGTTTCAAGTTTATCGTAAATACTGGATAAAGTGTGGCTGCTTGCCTTCATTGACTGATTTAACACTAACTTGAGCATTTCTCGAACGTAGACCTCCACGAGTAAGTAGGGTATATAGGGGGATTCTAACTCAGGCGAGGGGGGAGCGGGGCGGGGGGCTCTGGCGAGGGGACAGCGGGGAGGGGGGTACCCCGGGGCACGGGGGCCGCGGGGAGGAGGGGGAGTACGCGACCTTGACGTCATGCATGGTGCTGACCTGTCACTACGTGACATGTAACAGATATCTATGTGCTGACCTGTCATCGAACACCTGGACGCGTATGAGTCACGGGATCAAGCGTCGAAACCTGGCTGATGACTTTCTTATCAAGGTGAACGATGTCGAGAAGTTCCGCGTTTATTATTCCGCAGCGCTGGGCTATCCGCGGGGAGGGAGATATTCCGCGGCGATCCGCGAGGACGCGGGGAGGACCGCAGCACTACGCGATTCGCGCGGGCGCGGGGCGGGGGGAGGACCGCGACGCTACGCGATCCCTCGACGCGGGGAGGACCGCGACGCTACGCGATCCGCGGTGGCGCGGGGAGGACCGCGGCGCTACGCGATCCGCGGTGGCGCGGGGAGGTCCGCGGCGCGGGGAGGTCCGCGGCGCGAGGCAATCCGCGACACATGCATGTAATAGATATCACCGGGAGATATACAAATGATTAGCGCAGCTGCGCGCATCCATGGCATGAGTCATGAGGTCAAGCGCCTAAACCTGGCTGCTGACAAAGTCTTTCTTGCCTAGGTGCATGATGTCAGGGAAGTTCCGCGTTTAAACTCGCACCTACTGCGTCAGCATGTAATAGATATCACCGAGGATGCC